AGTCAAAAAACACAAAAACTTGAAAATCAAAATTGCCACATGTAGAAGCAGGAAAAGCGACAGGTGGCAAGAGAATAGATACTTTGCTTGAGAGTAGCGAGCGTGTGGAGCCCATTAACTGGCCCACAAAAATTCTTAAAACTCTTTCTTCCTCTTTATCGTAAGTCTCAAAACACAGAGACAAAACTACGAAAAAGATATTATTCTCTCTTCACTTTTGTCTCTGTTGTGTGACGATCAAGCCGCTATTTCTGAACTCATCTAACGGCTCATAATTATTCATATGGGTCCTACGGTTTATTTTTAACCGTTGGATTGATAAAGATGATTGGTCAAGTTGACGTGGACCCACCCAAAGAATGTGGGTCCGAGGATTTTGGAACCACCGACGTTTTCTTTTTCCTCCGCCACATCCGTATATACGGTCCATTTACTTAAAGATGACTCGAAATTAAAGTTTTAACTTTTTATCATGATCATCACCAAAGCGAGGTTCAAAAATCAAATTTTGTGAGATTTTTTTTGTTTGAAGCTGAAAACAGAACATATTGATTAAGTAATGTCTTCAAAACCTTTAGAATTTTTGAGAAATAAGAAAATGTAGATGAGATTGAGAATTTACCGAACATTATTTCTTGAAATAGAAAATTCAAAGGAAGCTCCATAGTTCACGCTTTCGTGTCCATACAAAAAAAAACATATAAATAATTGTGAACTAGCTAGAATGACAATTATATTAAAGAAAAAAGATCAAAATGATTCTTAAATTTATAAGATACAATAATTGACTATCCAAGACCAAAACGAATAATTGAATTTTAGATAGATACAATAAGAAATTTTTAACGAAATGATTTATAAAGTTGAAAAAAAAAATGATCTCTTCTCATGTTAAAAATAGTATTAAACTTGAAATAAAAAGGTTTAAAAAAACAAATAAGTGTGAACTAACTTAACTAAGTAGTAGAAGTGGTTTTGAGTGGAGACAGCAATCCCGAGGAGAAGAAGGGTCCTCTTCTCGCTTCCTTCTTATTCACATCCCAACCCCCAAA